TTCGCGCTCACCACATGGAGCCAAGCCTCCAGGGGACGTCGACTGTGGGTGGTGCGCGGAATGTGTCAGGCTAGTTCGTTGCGGAGTAAAACGCAGTGAGATATTAATCACTAGCACACAGTGTAGCGATATTTGTCAAAAGCAATGATACCAGAAGCTTATACGCACCGCTGCGAGAGACACGGGAGGATCATAGAACAAGCAGCAAGGTCACACAAAGTTGCAGGGCCCGGCTGCTTGTAATAATGGGTTATCAGTATCCATCAGGCGGGCATTATATTGTTGGCTAGGGCCACAACTAATTATGAGCCAATGCAGCGAGAATATCATTTTCTAAAATTTGTCGGCGGATTTTTTACAGGAGTGACAGACCTATCAGATGCAGGCATTAGTTTAAAACAAAATATTAGTTTGGGACCGATGCATTGGGAGCCGGTATTCTCGAGCCAGTGTGCTGCCTGAGATTGCTCAAGCTGCAAATATGTATCAACAGTCGCGTCACGCCACAACCATAGTATTGGGCCAACGGATGTTGTCTGGAACATTATCGATAAAATACATAATTCAACAAAATTTAAACAAATCATTGAATGAAATCATCAGACAATCATTCAATAACCCTACTGTGTCCCCAACTATTTGCAAAGTACCTCAGGGGCGTGGCTTGGCAAAATGAGCCGGGGCCGAGGTGCTCAGCAGAGAGTTTACCACCTCAAAACGCATTCATTCTGGTCCATTCCATCGCTTTACGCCAGCTGTCAGTCAGCTTAAAGCGCCCTGGCATCATGAGAGAGTTGCTACGATGCATGCCTACATGTCTGTAGGCCTAGCAAATAACGTCAAATACTTACCCGCACGCTGTTGCAATATGTTACGCCATCATTACCGCCGTTGGCCGCTACATAACTCTGTTGGGCACCAGAAGGGTCTCGACAGGGTGGGCTGACACGAGCCACGTCGGTGGTCGTGCGGACAGCTGCGAGGGTCCGGTCTTCCCAGAACCAGCCGCCCCACTCCGATCGCGCTAAACAGATAACTCGCGCGTTATGTCGCGCGCCCCGACAACGGCTCAGCGGCCACTCCATTACGGCGGGCCTGGCCGTCGGCCGTGCATGTCAAGACTGGCGCCTCCCACCGGCTGGCGTGAGCTGCGCGTGTTCGGGCCGCCGGCCGCCCACGCTGCCAGACAGCGTCCTCTGTGAGCCCGGAGTTGCGACGCGTCACCAGAAATAGATGTTCTGGGGGTGGACGGCGCCCGTCAAAATGGAAATACAGAAAACGACTGAGTGACATTGCTAAAACAGACTTCGGACGCATTCCGGGTAGGTTCAGTAATGCCGGGATATCCTGTGATCACCCCTGTTCACAAAGTCCGCGTGTTGCACCATCGTGCATGGACAATCTCAGCGTATGGCGTTAGCGCGCAATTTAAGAAAATGCACACATCAGGCGTTGGCATGCACCAAACAAACTGTGTTTGAATAAATCCATGGTGTTTAAAACAAACCCGGAATCAGCATTTCTAAAAAAATAAAACTTCCAAACGAGCGTTGAGCGTTACAGCAGCAAGAAGCCAGCAAACTTAAAGCCTGGGGATGGAGAGGCACGGGCAACACTGGTACCTGAAGAAATTAGGTTGGTTGGGCATAGTTTCAAAATTGACTCAGACCAGCACCAGCGTAATGGTATTTATACTGTTTCAAAACTGTCAAATGGCTGGCAAGATGCCAAAAACTCTCACCATCGATATCAAATTATTGTGTTCAACCTGTTTGGGCACGCTTTTTTCTCGGATCATCCAAACTAGGTAGCAGGCGTCCTTGCTGTCACTTCCTGTGTGTTTCAGCCAAGGTCACGTAATGAAAACTTGAAGGGAGAGCTTGGTTCCAGGAAAACGCTTGCTAGCCCAAAACTCGGTAGTGACATAACCAAGGTAGGGGAGGGGGCTTGGTAGTTTATCTCCCCTCCCCCTCGGTGGAGGTAGCAGCCCTGGGATCGAGCGTCTTAGTATTTTTGAGTGTAACACCAGTACGACCTTCTAAAACATAAAGATAAGGCCGAGCCATCGATGCATCAAAATGAGATCCCGAGGCTTAAAAAGTTTCTTGTGAAACCCTGAAATACTTGAACTTGAACAGGACTAAAAAGCAATGAAATTTGGCCGCTTCCCTGAAAGTGCCTCCTATGGCCTAATTGATCCCGTTGTGGACGAAATCCTGGTGGATGGACTCTGCAGGAATCATTGCAACATTTCCGTTCAGCTTCTCTGGCTTTTTGAAACAGCGAGCGAAATAGCGTGTTGTGTGGTGTTTTGGATATGAGAGCCGATGATTGCACTGACGTCCTCGATACGCTTAACTTGCGTGTAATCGAGACTTTATGGCAGCTAAAAAACTTCAAAAGCTGTTCCGAATGATACTTAACCTATATCAAGTGATTACCATTATAAAATGTAATGCGTGAACTGTTTGGTGACGACAGCATTTTTCTCACTCGATTGGAAAAATGCACGTCAGCCACAGTAAGACTCATTTTTGCTGCGTTCAATAAGCGGAGGTAATAGCAGACGTGACGAGTTATCACCATGCAGATGAGCATGATTATAAGCACATAGGGTCAGTCGACTTTGGTACTGATCAAATATGACAGGTCTCAGAGAACAGTCATGTTGTGTCGATGATCGTGACGTTTGTTCGCTCTGCTGAACATTTCTGGAGTTGCCTGACAGCCACGCAATCGGGGAAATGTGGTCATTGTGAAAAACGTTCAGTCGGTATGAGGCAAATCTCCAATATATGGTATGTAGAGAAAATCGTAGGGGCCAAATCGTTTGTTGTATTGTTAAGTGACCGATGCTGATCATGTATAATGAAAGTGATACGGGCTTTGAGCGTGTACGTTTCTGTGCGTATGTAATCGCGGCTGGTTATGGAATGGAATCTTTCCATCTAAAACGTTGTTTGCCCGTAGAAAAAGAAGTATCTTGTTGGGATATACACTCTACCGCCTTGTTCAAATATCATAAGGCATGTTGATATCATCGAAGAGGGATACTGTTGTGGAATAGATGCACGTTTCAAAATGCACACGACTTTGCTTTTTTACGGCAAAAATGTCATGGGCACTGTGGGTATTGCGAATTGCAGTGAGCTCCTTCCTGCTTCCGTCTGGATGAAAAAGACAAGGAGGCTTATAAAATATTGTATTTTTGGAGACGTTCACGATTCGGGAAGCAGAAAACGATATTTCGTATGGCTTAAGATAGCAGCCAAACACTATGGTGCCAAGCGTAGAGCCCGTGGTATTGGCGGTTTCACTTGCCTGTTTCACCGTGTGTCTAGTGCTTCTTTTGGCAGCTTGTGGGAAGAAGTCTAAAAGTGAAACGGAGTTACCACCAATTGAAGTACAGAATGCGGATGAATCAGTAGAGGCTGCCGGATCTGGTGAAGACGGTACGAAGTAAGTACAAACGAAGCACACATGCAATATAAAGCTGCATTATCGATCGACAACTACGTGTACATTAAATGGTTGGCCCACATCCCAAAATACAAGATGAGCTGGACTGAAATTTTTAGTTGGCAATGCGAAGGTCAGCACCAATTGCACTCACATTCCGATTTGTGGTCATTACTTTCTAGAATTAGTGGTGAAAACGCTTTCTTTGCCTTAGTGAGCCAGAGCCGAAACATTGGGTGTTTATCTGTTACATGCCTAGATGCTATTTTGGGAACGATGGAGACAAAGCCAACGTTAGGCTTAGCAGACCCCCTTTCAGTAACAGAACCAGGAGATGCTTAATAGTTAAGGCCGTTGCGTTTCATTTTACATCCATGATACGCCCGCTCTACAAAATTGTGTTTCCAGAGATGACTCAAAAAAAGACAAAGAACCATACTATTAGAAAAGACTAGATTTCGCACTGACTTTAGAAGCTGATGACGAAGTCCTGGACACTATCGAAGAACTGAGGTCATGTCCAGATGAAGGTTAGTTCAGTTTTGAGTGTTCTGTATGTAGATGGTTGCTGCGTGATATTTGCATGTTACCAGCATCACATTTCTGCATTGCGACAAAGGCATCAACCCTACATGATTCGATGATTTCAGATGACGCAGTTTCGTGATGATAAAGAACTTCTGGCGGATGTTGGGTGTAGGCTTGTGAGCTGGTTTTTAACAGTTTCGATGGCATTGAAGCTCGCATTGCAAAATGCTAACAAGACCTGGGCGTATGCTCTTTATTGTTCCAACGTTTTAAATCATCCTCTTATATATTCCAAAGTTTTGATATAATGCGCATTAACCGGGTATGACTTCCGCAGCACGAACTGACACTGGAGGAAGACTGGCGGCTCTAGAAACAAGCACTGAAGAGAGGGCCGAGGCGCGGATGTGGAACAGTTAATCATTTATGACAGCATATCATAGGGTGGCATTGGAGCGGTTTGACGCATTAGGTTTGACGGAGTTCGTCACTTTAGTTGGTGATATATGACAGGGCATCCATTTGCTGTCGTTGAAAATGGCTTAACACCAGGTGAAATTTTGAGCAGCCTTGTTAAATGTCGTTTTGTAAGGTATCTTAAGTTACTTTTCGTGAGGCAATTACAGGCTACATTTCGTACCGTTTTGTTGGCCATGCCATGATCAAACGGTTACGTTTTCAAAGTATGCACTCAGCTGTCCCCGACACCGACATAAACAACAAAACATTCGCTGGGTGACGTCTGTATATAAAGAAAAAAAGAAATACTGGGTCCTACCCAAAGCCTTAGAAATTAAGTTACCATTGGTAGAGCATACACTGGTGTACGTCATATTTTGCTTATTCCTCAGCATAATGGAACACTATAAAGCACAAGCAGTGAACTGTCAAATGAAGTGAACTGAAGTGTCAGGGCTACAGGAGGGTAGACTTAACTGTTGTCACTACAAGATGCAACCTTTTGGAACAGCTAATTAGGCTTTGTCGTGTCGCAAGATGGCATTGACATCATCACCTTCGCTTGTAAAGTGGAGCCATGTTGTGTGTGATAATTCATCAGTGTAGTCTGACGTGACATTATGCACTATAAGCTTTGGAGTACGGCAATGCACGTAGATAGTGTATCCAAAGTTTTTCGTAAAACAGTCAGTGCGCAAGTTCTTGGAGACCGTTTTTTGCGCGAACGCTTCCGTTTAACGCAGTAGCAAATACACGGATAATCAGAGCAAAGCTGCATGTACTGCGTTAAGGAAGATGTATCACGAAAAAGCAGCGTTCTGCGCAGCCCAACCGCTGAGCGTGAGGCCTCACCCTTCACACCTCTGCATTGTATGCGAGCAACACGCCAGTGTCATGTGCACGCGTGATGACCGGACCCCAAGCAGCAACGTTGTCACACAATTTGGCAAATGGGTGTTTGCTCACGACAGCAATAGCAGTCTTTGATGTTGAAACAATGAGCCTCGGCGCAGCTGAACACTGCAAACTGCCTGTTCTGCGCCCGAACCGCATTTTTATCTCCATCCGGAGCCGAGTTTGATAACTTTGTCGCTATGGACAATAACGGTAATTGCACCTGCACATAAAGCGCACTGAAAGTTTAGCAAACGACATTTTGCTGACGAGGCCTTGGAGCAAAACTTTAATCCACAAGGCAGCTTGAATGGTGCTGCAGTAGACGTCAAGCCGTGTACGACGTCGCGCCCAAATAAATGGTTCAAACTGTCGAAAACAGTCGTAATGACTGATTCGAACCGACGTGGCTGAGGTTTTTACCAGCCTGTGGTTTATTACATACAACCACATGCCTATTAAGGGACTAGAGCGATGGGTGTAGCACTGCTGCGTGTGGCAAGGCAACAGACGACTGCCATCATAGGAACGGGCGGAGAGCGAGGGCGAGGGTGAGGCCCGATGTTCTGTCATTGACCAGGCAACAGACTGCCATCATAGGAACGGGCGGAGAGCGAGGGCGAGGGTGAGGCACGGTGTTCTGTAATTGACAAAGCAACAGACTGCCATCATAGAAACGGGCGGAGAGCGAGGGCGAGGGGAGGCACGGTGTTCTGCTGACAAGGCAACATACTGCCATCACAGGAACGGGCAGGGAGCGAGGGCGATCGGTGTAGACCACCGTCTATGTCTCAAAAATTGAGCGGCATTTTGATGGCAGTGCATGCAAGACCATTTAAAAACAAGCCTGACTGCTACCGATTCACTGGAAGGTTCTTACGATCCCTCTGGCTGCCATGCGTAGGGAGCGCTGTCAGGGTGTCGCGGCCACCATAACACTCTGCCTGACCTCTGAGGCCGTATCGATTGGGGCTAAGTCCTTAATCGGTGATGGCCCTCTTCACAGTGCTTCGTCTGCTGGCACAAGCAAGACAATCTTGCGTTACGGAGATTTTAAGATAAGTTTGATTGACTTGCTTGCTGGGGTTGTAAGAGCCTTCACATCTCGGGTTGAGGGAATACTCAAAGTTCCACCGCAACGGTGTGTGGAATGCCGAGCTCGCAAGTGCAGGAACCCAAGAAGTGGGCTTCTGTAGATCACGTGGGATGCCAGGAGAGGCCGTGGTGGGCGGAGGTTGATGGGATGGCTTACCATCATCGTGTTTCTCTAAGCGATGCCTGCTTCAGAAGATGTCAAATTATTGTTTCGAGCAGAACGCTGCACGACCTTGAGAGCGCTGAAGCGTTCAATTCTGTGCAGCAGCTGTAATAACGCGGCCGCCACGACATCCGTATTTTCATGGAACGAGGACACGGTCGCGCACGAAGTCTAACGTTCCAGTGGCGATTCCTGAAGAGGCTTCGTTTAAACACAGCGCGGGTATACTCTCACCGCGTCACGATGGTTCTGCCTCACAGCGTCGTCTTGTGAACAGTCGTTGGCGCGGAAACAGAGTTTTAATGTTTGGAGGGCCCCGACAAGACCCCTCGTGGGTGCTCCCCCACAGGGAAGAGAGATCCTCATGGGGTCTCGCCTCGTTTTTTCGTCGGGCCTCCTAATGCTTTGGTGTGATGCGGTGGTCGATGTCAAATAAAGCGCTCTACGTTCTAAAACGCTTCCATCTCCTGCTCTTTTCCTATACCTGGGGTAGACTTTTCCGTTGCCCGGCATTCTCCCGGGCCCGAGAGGCACACGATCCTTTCCTCACCCGACCAAATGCAGACGGCTCTCACCATCTGGCTTAAAGAGTGGGCGGCAGGGTACTCTGCTCTCTTGCATGCACGTCTATGGGCGACGAAGGCAGCGTACGACCGCGGACCAACATGTCGCCAGGAGGGAGACGGCTTCAGCTTCCTTCCCGTAAAACTTGCAGATCAGCCTAGTTTGCATTTCTGCAGCAGCCAGTGCCGTTCCGGGCTCTGAAGTATGTTGGAGTGTGACAGCAGGGCCGCGTCAGCTGCATCAGAGTTGTGGGAGTTTGTAATCGGCTTGCTGAGAAGCGATGCTATCGTCACCCAAGTGTACGGTGGACGGTGGCGCCACGAGAGAGACGAGTCTGGGGCGGCCAAATGAAAATCTGTGAAGGGGCTATTCACGCCATGTGACCGCCTGCAGTGTCAAAAGTAAGACTCCTCCCCCAGTGCCACCACCACCGAGATCCTAGAATTACAAAGTTCCGTGGAAGGATTGAGACGAAGCATTAGTAACACAGATGGAGTAATTGTTCTGACTGTCATCTTCGTCTTGGGTGTTGGTATAAACACAACGTCGCGGCCAGTTAACTCTCAGGTATTCGTCATTCGTTATTGAGTCCTGAGAAGGACTGCATATTGTTTGGTTTTCAGCCATGAGCACATTAATATGTCTAGTGGTGTAAGGAAACTTTCAAGACTTAACCCCGTCCTACGGGAGTTTTTTCACCGCCGTTCTCGACGAGGAGGCCGTGGTGGACATCTAAGCTGAAGAAATCTAAGCAAGTTAGAACCACGCGGAAAACGGCATTGGAGTTGAAAAGCTCTTGTCAAAATGCATCTGCTCGCAGTTATGAACCTGGTTTCTCAATGCCTCTTCCAAGCTGTCCTTCGTAATATCCAATTTTTATATTTATTATATTAATTTGTATTTTTATAAAATCCAATAAAATCCTATTTTTTGAAACATGACCTGGCTTCTGAATCTGATTGGTTCTTTGCGAACACCACACCATGGTTTCTGGCTTCCACTGGTTTCTTCGTCAACGGCATGCCCTGATTCGTGGTTTCAATGGATCTTTTGCAAACATCAGAACCTGCCTCCTGGTTTCCTTTATTTCATTGCTAACACCATGATCTGGTTGTTGGTTCCAGCTGGTTTACTCGCGAAACACCACATCCAGATTTTCGGTTGTCATTTGCTCCTTCTCATGGGCACCGGCTCTGGAATAAGCACGTCTTAACAGATAAATGTTTTGAAATCAAATGCATCTTATGTCCGTTATGTCAATGGTACTTCAGTTGTTCTTTTGCACACATATTGGTTGGCAGTATGGCTCGTTTCGCCATTGAAATAAACGAATCTTAAGGAAAAGAAAAGCAATGGTTACGGACGAAAATTAGACCTAAGTGTCTGTTTAACTGGCGTGAGTGAATTTTGGTGGTGCGTAGTTGCAATGTAAACTTGTAGCACGTTTTGGCGTGTCTCTGTTGATCCCCCCCCCCTTTCAGTACAGTATTTCACTTAAGTTGTACATACGTATCGGATGTTAGGGAACCGTCTTATTTTAGGTCAACATTTCGGACAGCGGGGGCCCAGGTACACACCCAAGTTACCATTTCCTCTTTTAGCCATGATCATCTTATTGCATTTGTTCTACTGCATTTGCGTCATTATCATGCGCACACAATTTTCTGCGAATACAGGTTACAGTCTGTAAAGCTGATCTCCACTGTTCGAAAGTCCTACCTTCATCAGTTATACACGGCATCAGATCCATTACACACACGACCGCGCGGGAAGAGGTGTTGAGCGCGGCCGCAGCCGTGTAAAAGCCATTTCCCGATGGCTAAGATTGGATTGCTGTCAGAAGCGCGGATCGCCGGGCTGCGCTCGACTGCACCTGGGCACAACTGGTTTGTCATAGGAGCAACACCGTGAAGCAAGAAGACGCCTCGGGCTCGGTGAGGGACGATAAAGCTCTGCGAGCCATTACAAATGGAGCAGACAATCGACTTAGTCATGCATTAGGATATCGGAAGGGATCAAGTCCTGTTATCTGCACGGAGATCGAGGAAAAGCGGTCAAATTAAGGAGTTTCTTATTAGCACGGAAGAGTTTATGACCCAATTATGACCTTCGGTGTTTTTGCCTGGTCAAGATGGAGAATTTCACAGGTAAGATTTCCTTCACGCAATCCGTACGCTTCCCATGGGTCGGTGTCTGTTCCCACCTACTACCCACTCATTATCGTTTGGACCTGGGGTCGTTTGTACCTGGACCCGCTACTAATCCTTTCGCATTTTCCAGCAGCCCAGTTCTAAATTATGGAAAAGTTTCAGGAAAGCCTACACTTAAACCTAATCCTTCACGTTCAAAATTGCGAAAGGAGTGCAAACCTAACTAGTTGTAACTAAAAGGGGACGGACAGAAGCACTGTATGGTGTTGCTGGAAGAATCCGCACAACATTCTGCCAATTTCTTGCTCATATCCGTACCAAAGCCCGTAATTGTCCCAAAATATGTAGCCAACCTAACACGTTATCCATTCTACATACACGTCACTGACTTTATTCAACTCGTAAAGTCAAATAGTTTATGCCTAGATCATAGAGCTACGGAGCCCGTCTATGCACGGGCCCACCTGGGCCCAACTCGTGAAGTACTTCTGTTCGCGATGCAAGTGATGCGGCGCTGGCAAATAACGACAGCACGGAACAGCACTTAATTTGTATACGTGACATGACTACCCGTATTCGTGCATTCATTTTACGCTTGACATTTATGCGTGACATTTATGCGAGTTTTTTACATGCTGCGTATTTTGCCGCTCTGTACCCCTCGTACCCTTTTCCTGCGCCGACACCACTCAGAGCCAGCGGCGGGTACCCCGGTCGACTCGAGACCATGAGCGACAACACGCCTTGTTGGTTGTGAGGTACGGATGCGTGGTTATCAATGGACGACCGAGGTCAGCTCGGAATTCCGAAGCTTCTATTTTTTCATTACTCACTTACCTCATCTCCTGCAGGGTGAAACTGATTCCATTTCACCTATCTGTGGTGAAATTGGAGC